TAAAGAAATTATACATGAATATGAGAGCAACACGTTAATGTTTGCGTACGGAGGACATGAAATAAGATTGTGTTACTGTTAAGGAATGAAGCAAATTTATTATTTAATAAAAATACTTCTAATGAAAATTTTAGCATAATTTTTGATAGTGCTAAAAGTGTAGGACTAATAATGTAAGAACAACAGTAGTAGCAGTGATAAAGATAATATTAGCAGTATTGTATAATATTTTATGATAGTGCCATTATATTACATACAGATTTATTGCTGTTGTGGTTTGTGTAAAGCGTTAAAGTGATTTTTTCATCAATATCATCCCATTTTGCAAAGAAGAAATGAAAATAAACTACTTTTGTAGGTTTCATTCGATGATTGTTGCTTTTTGTAACGTTTTTGAATTATACTTACTCAAAATTTTCATTTACTCCATCCATTTTTGATGTGTATCGACTGACCTCGCTCAGATGTTGGTAACAGTAATAACCTGATCATCGATTGATACTACTTTTGCTTCGTCGAACCAAACCATCAAAATTGTAGTTTTACTGATATCGTTTGTGAGCATAAATTTAAAATTTTTTATAGTGATGTTAGGCTGATTTTTTTTGTATAAATCACAATGAAAAATTGATGATATGAAATATTAGATATTTGAATTATTGTATTGAAAAGTTGATCGTTATTAGTTGTATATGCGTCATAGTATTCAAGGAAAGAAGCTCTCGATGTGTGTGTGATTTAGTGAAAACAGTTCAGAATTAAATAAAAGTGGTTGTAATTAAAATTTTTCAAGCGTTGGTGAACAATGCTGAAGTGTGATTTAATTGGTTTTGAATTGAGTCCTGAAGTGATATTTGAAAAATAAATGGTCATTGTTTAATATATTGTTTCATTCCATTATTATCAGTCATTTTATTTCAATTTTAATTTTGATGTTGATTTTAATTTCAAAATTTTTTCTTCATTGTTATGGACTTATTTTTAAAATTTTTTGTTTGTGTATTCACAGAAGTAGGAAGATGATATACACGTATCTGATTGTTCTGTCATATTACACGTTTATGAAGCATTGAAATTTGGAGATGATGCCTTTACTGTGAAATATTGGATGGAACATGTAATGGATAATAAGCGGCTCTGCACATCAATAGCTGCGTTCTTCCTATACTTAGGTCAGGCAGCCTCTCACGTAATCAGTGGTTTATTCGTTCGTTTGTGTTTAAAAGTATTGTTTCTATCTGCAGTTTTAATGATTATAGAATACGTGCATTATGTAAAACAAAGCCATGTAGGTTGCGTTTTCAAAATTGGTTTAACTTTAAACATCAGATTAACGATGTGTGGTAGCAAGTTTGGTGGTAAAATCTTCAAAATTGTTATCTTTTTTGCGATTAGTTTAAGATTGAATAAACTATAAAATATGTTTAGCAAAGTTGTATTATTATGAACTTGTGATGAAACAGCAGCAGCAGAATGTTTCCGTGCAGCAGTTTATCTTTAGCGTCGGTAACGATTATGGCTACTGCAGTCGAGTTTCTTATCCGAAATGTTACTCGTCATCAGTGCCCATCTTCAATTCGTGCACGTGAAAATTGAACAAGTACTGTTGGCTCATTGCGATAATGGTTTAGTCTTATGCATTACGGCTAATTAAGTCATAAACACAAAACGAGAAAACAATAAAATGTTGCATTAGTTTCAAATTTGTAGTGTATGAATATTAATTGGAATCGAAAGACCATTCTGTCTACCTTTGGTTTAACACTTCATATACTGTATGAGAAGCAGCATGTTCAAATGACCATGCAAATTCATATTTTCGGATTTCAAAATTACTCGTAACCAATTTAGACGTTCGGAAAAGCGTTCAACAGGAAGCGAATCGTTTTTATTCAAGATGTTTTCATGTTCCTGTTGAGAATGAGTTGTTCTATCATTCGCTAGAAAACTATCAGATTTGTTATCGTAGTTTTGTGGGATTGCCTTGTTAGTACATAGTTTAGTGCTTCAAAATGGCTCACTTCATTCTCTATCTCCATGTAGGTGACGAAATTTTTAAATTGCTTTCTGTTTGTTGATTTTGAAAAAATATGTTTCTGGAATGTGAGGAGGTGATGAGGATGTTAACGTTGGAGCGTGCTTATATAATAATTTCGTTAAAAAAGCCATAAAAAACTTCAAAATTTGATGGAAACAGGATTCTCTTCTCTGATATCAAAGTCGGGAAGAGGGTGTCAGAGAAGGAAAGTTGTGATATTTATGATATTGATAATAGCAGAGAAGCATGGCCTCGCAATAAGCTGTTGAAGTTGTAACACGTTGTAACAGTAATAATAATAATGATAACAGTAATAGTAAGAATAATAACTGCGTTAGAATATAAACGTATAACATTTGAGGATTGATAGAAACAAATTTAAAATTTTTTCTCCTATTGAATATTTTCTATAGTAATCTGTAAGTAAATTTGAATTTGATTGATGAAATTCATTTCATTTGCTTTGTAAAGCAAAGAATAATTCTATCGGAACGCATGGATTCGGATTGAAATGATGAAGAAATATTAGTGGAATTGAAAGGAATTTGAAGGGATTATCATTATTAGCGTTGTTGTTGTGATTGAATTCAATAAGTGATTCGTTTCTTTTTGAGTGCTGAGTGATTTTGTCGTATTCACCGCATTGTTTATTAAGGTGTGAGAATTTGAAAAGATATGTGAAATGAACTGAAAGGTAACGCAATTTTCAATTTCCGTTTGTGATTTCCGATTTTATGCTCGATTTCGTTGGGTTCATGTGGTGAATTTGCCGTTATTATTATTATTATTATTATTATTATTATTATTATTATTATCCAGCATGCATTTTTACTACCAACGTTAAATAATTCTTGAAGAAGTGGAGAAGCAGTTCATGATAGTTTATGATTGGTAGGTGAACAGATAAAGTAGATAGACAAATAAGCAAACGTTAAACTGATATCAAGAACGTGCGTACTTATTGGTGATGAATAACTTTCAATGAATGCTTTCGGTGACAGTCGTTCTCTGGAACTTTGGTAATAATTAGATTACGTAACGAGTTTTGATTTGAAAGCGATATAGTTATATTAACACATTCACAGACACAGTAAAGCAACAGTGTAATTGAATTGATTTGTATGCAGCGGCATTTTGGAATGGAATCGACATTATATTTTGTCAACTGATGCATTCAAATGATCCAGCTTGAACGAAACGAACAAACGATGTAGTTTCAAACAAAATTCAACAGTAGTTTATGCATGATGATAGTGTACGTTTGGAACGGTTATCATCAAATTATACGGTGTTTCATTTGATAGAATCAGTTATGAAATTCGAATTTTTGAAGGTAAGCGTTTCATTGTTGAATGATTACAGTGAAATGATGAGATGATATGCTGTGCAATAGGAAAATTTGATGATCATGTAATCAAGAAAGGAGATGAGCTGAAGTACACCATTTACTGTCTCTGCAAATCATATTTGAATTGAATCACGTTCACATCACTCAACGTTTCTTACCAAAGCGCATCGTACCCAATGGTCCAACTGCACTGCCGGTAGCTCGTTTCTTACCGAAACGCATTGTTCCCAAAGGACTGTTGCGTTTATTATTATTATTATTATTATTATATCTGATGAAGTGGTCATTATTAGCAAATGGACTGATATTTGCTACATTGTTGTTGATCAGGCGATATAAATAGGCATGATTAAGCATTGCAACGTTGTTGTTATCATATAGTTGTTGTTGATCAGCGTTCTGATAGAATCTTTTACCGAATCTCATCGTTCCAAGCGGATTTGATGCATCCCGCTTGCCGAATCGCATCGTGCCTAAACGTGCTCGTTGTTGGTAATCACTTCTCTTCAAAATTCCATTATTCGGTACCAACACTTCATCTTTTTTAATTTCATCTTCAGCAGAATTTTCGTTGAAATCATTTGAAAGACTTTCATATTTATTGCCATTGTTATTATTATTACTGGGCACAATGCTCGACATTGATTCACCTCTGATATAATCATCTTCATCAAACCCTAAAAGAATTATAGTTTCATTCATTTGTTCTTTTTTAGGTTCATTTGTTTTGTATCAATAAAAGCAGTTGTTTTTGTTCGATTTACTATTGCTTCGAAGAAAGCCGTAAACATCAGCTTAGCTAAGCCGAGGAATCAGATCGAAAAAATAATATCGAAAAAGTTGATAATTAATTGAATATTCTTAATAAACGGTAAATATTATTATTAAATGAATGGTAAGATGATAAGCTATCAATAATACTGATAATATTAAATGAACAGTAAAATGATAACCTATAGCAGCTGTTCTAGTAAATGAGAAGTGTAGTTGTGAAAGGATGAAAATGAAAGCGATAATGTTCAAATGAATAGCTGATGGGGTAGTGTTCATAATCGCTGTTGTTTATTGTTGTCGGCTAATATTGAAAGTGCGATAAGAGTAATGCAGATTGAAGTACAAGTTATAATAAGTTAAGTTATAATCTTATCAACGGGTTATTTCGAATGGCTTACACTTAGGTTAGAGAAGCACGTAGGAGGTTAGCTTGCTGCCAGAATGACTTCTTGATGCATTCTTCGATCACTTTTGAAGCAAGCTTTAATGCTTGCCTCTTTCTTATTCCAGTTTGCGAGCAACAAACCACTCCTTTATTGTAATTTTTATTATTATTACATTAGTATTATTATATCAACAACAGAATTAATATTGTTAGTGCTGTCTGTGTATTATTATATATATTGTTATAATAATAAAAAAAGAATAATTGTTATTATTGTTGTTATTATTATTCATATTATTATTTATTATTATTACTACTTTCCTTATTATTATTCTTTATTATTGTTGTTATTATTATTCTTTATTATTATTATTATTATGATTACTATTATTATTTTTATTATTATTTTTATTATTGCTATTATTATTGTTATTATTATTATTATTGAAGGATTATACTTTGGCTTAGGTTATAATGTTCGATTTCATCAGATTTAATCGGATTGGCGGCATGTTTTATATGCTTCATTTAATTTAATGCCGCGCACACCTACCGACTTAACTCAATTTTCTGTTTGTTTATATTTGTTGTTCGGAACTATTTAAAATCGATTTAGGTGAGCATAAGTAAAGCGGAAATCGCATTCTTTACCTGGTTTATCATGATTAATTTCAACATTATTCCATATTATTTATACGATACATTCCAAACTTGTAGATTTATTCGCACATATACAACTATTTCTCAGTTAACATCATTACGTGTTATTTTTGTTGTTTTGTTCTTGTTGCTAATTCTTAATGTTGCTAATTCTTGCTAATTTTAGTTCTAAATTCCGCTACTAGCGTAGCTACTTTTCTCGGTAGAGCGATAACGCGCAAAACGTTCTGAGCCAGTTACGCTGGCAAACTGATATAATGGCACATTGCGTTTCATTGTAGAGTTCTTATATCTAATGTTATATATCGTTCTGTAGCTCATTTTCCGCGCTCTCTGAATATACTCATACTTGGTCTTCATTCTTTCAATTTAGAGACTTTTGGAGGATTGAATCCAAGCTATGGATAAGAAAATAATTCGCGGAATTATGCCTTATGAATTCAAACTTGGTCGTTCGAGCAGGCAGGCGATGGCTAATATCAACAAAGCATTTGGGAGGGAACCACTTCCCAATCCACATTTGGGGATTAGTTCAAGAGCTTCGCTGCAGGAGAAATAAATCTTGAAAATGAACTGAGGTAAGGCCGCATTTCAGACCTCAATAACAGCGAATTAAAAGAGGTGGTGGAGTCGGACCCCACTAAAACTCAGGCACAGATCGATTCGTTTTTTATAAAGAATCATTTCAGACGGAGTTTCGAATATTGTGCTCATGAACCAAAAATGGCGTACTTTTCGATAATATATAATGTTCATAAGGTTTGTGTAAAAGAAGCCAAAAAGCACTTTCATACGCGCGCCATAACGTTGGGAGGGCACGGAACGAAAAGAAAATGCTTCGAAGATGCGCATAAAATGAAGTGACTGAATGTAGTCGTGAAAACTGAAAAGGAAAAATTGCCATAACCTTCGCGACTGTGATACTAAGTTCAACAATCTACAAACTGGGAAATTTTCATGAAATATACTTGTGCAGCTGTCGAAACTGTAAATTAAAATAGTGCTGCTGCGAGCAATGGAAATGGAAAAAGTGCCGGAACAGAAACTTGCTCGGTCAGTGCTAAATAGTCCGTTGAAAAGAGAATTCAGTTCTCTACTAACTGAGAAATTTCCAGGAAAAATTATCGATTAGTTTTCGAAATTGTAAATTAAATGGATGTTCGTTATGGAAAAGACTACTTTTGCGAGCGGTTGAAGTGGGAAAAGTGCCGCAGCAGAATTTTATCGACCAGTGTTCATTGGAACGAGAATTTGATTCTTCACAAATTGAAAAGTTATCAATAGAAGTGGTTCTGAATCAACACCCTATTTTTAGTTGTTGATCATCCTTTGAAATCCAGGAGCAATCCGTCACAGAAATCATTCACATCTTATGTCTCCAATGAAAATTTATGCTCTGAAGAATTGAGTCAGAATGAACCAAGTTTATTCCGAACTCATCACTTTAGGAAACTGTGTGTCGGTTTGGAACCGAACTGTTGGGACCAACCGCGCTCGAGCCGAAATTCAAGATGCACAAGGCTTACTGATAGTGGCGGGNAATTTGTTTGCAATGAATAAACGTTTTAAATCCAGAATTGAGAGACCAATCCCCATGCATCGAAAGAAGGATGTTGAATGTCACGACCTCAGTTGACTTTCGTATTGGCCGAGTAATTCAACAATGTTAGTTAAAGATGAAGGCATGATAAGATTATCGCATAAGATACACCATTTCCACACTAATTTTTTCTGTAATGGACCCCCATATTGTTTTTCCCTTACGCTTTACAACATCTGTCGAAAAATCGCATCGTTTCTTGTCAATATTGTTTAAGATCAGCCATCTAATCGTTTCTCGTCTCGATTTCGTCTCATTTAAGCACACTCCCCGCGTATGCTTAATACTTGTCTTCTTGATTAACAATCACTGACAATGCCATTTTCACTGGTTTGTAGAGAATGGCGATGTATTTGGGACCGAGAGACTTATTAAGGGTGGGGTGTAATTTTTGACGGTAGGGAATGGGCTGCTGAGCACCTAAATATTTTTATGGATAACTGATTCAATATTTAGGCTCGTTCAGATTAGTTTTAGAATCGTTTTAAGTGATTTTAAGCAGAGAAGATTTGTTTAAGGTGGAAAAAGATGAAGGCATAATAAGATTATCGCATAAGATACAGTCCCCGCGTAATACTTGTAAAGGAACTATAATCAAGAAATATATGAGGAGAAATTTTCAAAGGAACTATGACATATGTACCATATTCATGCGGGTGCTCATAATTTCATTTCTTTGCGAGAATGTTTATCGGACATATCAAAAAATTGCGTTTTGGGTTGAAAGCAGAGTTACAGGTACCGGAAAAGGTTTAGTTTGAAGCACGGTCACATACACTTGTTTTCATCCTTTGGTGCTGTAGCGTGCAAGTTCTGAATTTCGGAATCATGTTGGTGTCACCTCTTAAAAAGATGCCTTTTTGTTGTTGAAAACAACCTTTGTGTGATTCTTAGAGCATGACTTCTTTAGCTGCTCGTCGAAGTTGCTTTCTGCCTAAACAAGAAGTGCTGAGGAACGAAAGTTGATAGCCCATTCCTTCCATTAACATAATGCGACTACGTAACAATTTAAGTGCCCAAAAAATGGACGTGTTGTGATTGGATTATAGCAGAAGTGTTGGGATTTGATTAGAGCACGTTCCCGGTTAGGAACTTGCAAAGGGTTTATGAAGAACTTGTATGTACTGAGAATTGAATAGATAAGCATTGCATAATCATTTGTTTTAGATTTTGATGCGTTAGGAATAGTTGTTAAGTGATTAAACGATACTTGATGCGTTTTTAACAGATACTTTTAAGTGATTTTTTGATACTTGGTTAATTCACTGCTATTTATAAATTGTGAGACAAGCAACTACAAGTAGATCTTCATAGTAGATTTTTGAATTACTAATAGTTTCAATCATCTTGCCTTCAAAGTAATGTGTTGGATGTTTCTGATTTTTTAAATCAAAATGGAATCATTCTCCTAAACTGAAGGGGATCGTAAAAATCATTATGTGATAAGGATTTGTACACTGGTCAAGTTTTTCGTAATTATTATTTATTTATCTCAAATCTCTTGCTCTTTGTCGGTCAAAAAGCATCCATACTGGTTTCATACTCACCTTACATTATTAGGTTGTTTCCTATTCTCAGATGTTCTCTGTCTTATTCGGTTCGTGTATTTCTCCTCTCCAATTTTGTCGTTCTTTAAGTCTAACTGTAAAATAATAGAACGTGCACAAAATTTTTTATTGTTTGAAATAGACATAAATTCGATCAGCTGACAGCAATAATAATGAATATTGTCACAATATTTATACCCCAAGTAATAATGATAAAATCAGTTATAATAGTGTCTATGAGTGAAAGTCGCAAAAAATACTAATGATTACAGTTATGATAACGTAGCATTGGGAAGACGATACCACGATAAGGCTGTTGCATCTTGCGTAGTAGGAAATGTTCGATTATTTGGCTTTATTCAGTGATGTTGATGATAGTTGTTAAAAGAGTTGTCGTGATATGGTCGATTAATGCAACAATGAATGCGAATCAGTAGAGTTGTTGTTGATCGTCGACTAGAAAAGTGTCAGCTGTATCTGCTGGGTATTGCGCAGTTCTCTTGCCGAATCTTATCGGTTCACGGAAGGCGCGTTTACCAAACCTGATTGGCTCACCACGAAATCGTTTCATTATCGGTACTCGCATATATGCGATTCCGTCTTCGCTGACTCGCTCGTGCACTGCAGCTTCGCTCTAAATCGTTCATATTATCTTTCAGTTATCTTAATCATACTCATATTTGGAACTTCGCTTGACATTTCAGGGTATCAACTTACGACCCATTACAGTGAGTTGCTGCCCTGAAATGGTTTCAATAGTGAATATGTTTTGGCAGCATGTTTTGTTACTTCCAGTCTTCTAGTCATGTTCTATGTTACTTAATTACATCCAGTCTTGTTACAAAATTTTTTCAGCGAAGATTAATCAGGCTTTAATTTCGGGTTTTAAAATCCCATTTCATCATGATGAGTTGGTTACTTAGTGCGACTGTTTTCATGTGGTTGAAGTAAGTATATTCTGAAAGTGATTGCTGAAATGGTTATAAAGTCTACAGCAGATTTATTTGTAATGACTCTTATAGAGTGGAACCCCGTTCACGAACACTTCATTTACGGTCAGTTCGGATTGTGACTGAAATTTTAGGTATAGGCTTGCTTCGATTTACGACCATTTTCGGTAAAAGTTGTGAGCTTTCTCGTCATCTTCTGAAGCAAAATGAGGTAGCATGCATGCTTCTGATAGATTTTGGTGTGGAAAACAGCATTCATCTATTTTTTTAAACCAATATGCATGTATCTTAATGAATGTCATCAGCCCTGACCATCATATATCTATTCGTATATCTCCGGCTTAACAGATCGGATAAAACCATTGCGAAACCAATGATATATTGACTGATTCTACATTGGCATGTAATGTTTTAGGCCAATCGATTCACACATACTATCGTTTCATCAGTCAACCAGTGAAAAATATTAGTTGCTATCTTCGCTTGTTGACCTACATCAGTATGACTGATTTTACGGAGGATGACAAAGTTCATTAACCAAATGCTTACGAAATTCAGTTGAGATGTAACAAGTAGAAGCAGCATTGTCGTAGCAATCAGTATTGCCTTTGATGATCCCATTATCACAACCATCTCTGAAATTGTATGTAAATTGAGTATTTATGATAAAAATTTGCATATTTTATATGAACATTACTGTAATGAACAAATCCGAATGTCTCGAAGAAATCCAAAGTATACATTCATTAATACCGAATTTTGAACGCAGCATGTCTCTTTAAAGAGATATCAGCAGAAATGAATATAGAATGGTTGAGCGAAAGGAACCAGATCAGTTAATACGATGATTTGAGCATATTATAAATTAAAATGTCTTTTCAGTCATCTTTTTCATGAACTGGCTGTTGAGCAGCCACATTCCTTCGAATGAACACTTAATTTCATGGCTAAAAGCTGATACTATTCAAGCGTTGGGAAATGAATGAGCTAATAACTAGAAATGTGAATAGATCAGATCATTCGCGTTAAATGGAATCATTCGCAGACATCCAACCGCTAATTGCTTAGTGGCAACTTTGAATCGTATTCATCCAATGCTACACGAATATGTATCTTCAAGTTTTTTTACTCTATGAGAAATGAGCTACAACACATCGTTCTTAATTCTAACAGCCTGATTTTGTTATGTATAATTTTACGTACTCATTTTCTTTTTTTGTCTTCTAAAACAACTTCATAATAATTATTGATATTACTAATATTGTTATAATTTCAATGAAAAGCCACAATAAATCCCGAAATCAGTTTGCAGAAAGTTTGCCGATCTATTACTGAATTGGAAAAAATTATTTTGGTTATTTAATTCAGGCAGTCACGAGAGCAATCGCTGATTTAGTGCTGCGCCAGTTCAGGCAACGTTCCCCGTATCTATCAGCTTTTCCCTTCCAATGAATTGGGTACCATAATGGGCCCTGCAAATTCCTCGTTGTGAAAATTTAAAAAATCTCTTCACTCTGAGCAGTTGTGCAAAGTGAAGAAGGAATGATCGATAAGCATGGTTTCCGCGCATTCTGCTTCACAATTTCAAATTAGATGGTAATGCTACTTAGAACATAAAACAGTGGTCGAGGTCGAAGATGAGCTACACAATGAGCGTTGCAACGTTGGTTAAAAATGTTTGCTTCTGGAGGTTTTAGTGCATCTCGTTACTGGCGTAGGTCATTCTTGGATAATGGGGATTTTAAAACCGCCGTAGAAGTGAAACAAGAAGCAATCATCGAGAGGGAAGGACGTATCGTGTGATGTAATGCCACAAAACTTGGCTGAGATTCGCAAGGTCAGGAAGGTGCAAAGATCTTCCTATCTGTTTGGGATGTTGTGACAGATTATTGCATCACATTTGGTTGCAACCAGGTCAGATCATTACTGCAGAGTGTTCAGTCATAAACTGGGAGTGATGATGGAAAGGGGTTAATTAATGGAAAGGGGTTAATTCTGCTTCAAGATAACACGACGCCTCATGCTGCACAAATCACCTGGCAAAAATATGTGTCGAGGTCTTATCTCATCTATCTTATTCACCGAACCTTTGGCCCAATGACTACCACTTTTTTGGGTGCTCAATGTTCAAGAGTGTGGATGATATCAAAAGCTCCCTCCAACAGTTCATCAACTCTCGTGACATCAGTTTCTATGATGACAACATAAATTCTTTGCCGCATTGTCTGCAACATTCGATTATGAATAAAAGTGTCGAACGATGTTCAAATCCGCTATCACTTTCGTGACAGTCTAATATCGTATCGACCTATAGCAATGAATGATAATAATTGAAGATGTTCGAAGTTAACTATTGATGAGAATGGTCGTAGCTTTACTTATCGTTGAAAGAGGAGCTGAGGATGAATCGGGTCGGATCGTATGAAGATTTTAGGTGTTAGCAAGTGGAGATGGAGTGAATGATGGGCACTTTCATTTTATCGCATTTATATATGCTGCGAATGAGATGTTGATGACGATGGTGATGATTATTATGATCGCGATGATGAGTAATTTTTAATTTATGTTTTCGGGTATATTCAGTGCATTTATTCACTGTATACATATGTTATATATTGGATTATTCTTTATATAATAGATTAAAACGAAGTAATTAACGCCGAAAGTCGGTGTTGAATGTGCTGCTGATGATGACGATGATAATTATAGATGGAATTGAAAAGGGCTCAATTCTATTTAATCTACATGGATAATCATTAAGCTGACAGACATTATTTAAAACAGTGCAGCATCACGTCGTTCTGATATAAGTACATCACAGTAGGTCGAAAAAATTTATTTTGATTCTCCAATTTTTGAATGCGAGAAAGTGTCGCGATCAATTTAGGATTCCAGTGAGGTGACTTACAAAAGATGCTTGCACCTAACCCAGACGTGGTCAGTTCATTCTGTGTTTCAGAGTTCTCAGTTATCCCATTGCACATCTATCTCCATTTCTTGAACCCAATCTTTGAATATTATATTTTGTTCGCGAAGAATTGGTGCGGTTAATGACAAAAAGCCTTTAAATTGGGAAAGAAAAGGTGAAGACTGTAGCCAAAGCAAGACTGTATTAAATACATATTGTTCATAGAGTTGTGAAAACCGAATCCGAAAGCAAACTAGATGACGCCCAGTGAGTTCTACAAAGCCAACTCGAAAACAAACAAGAGGATGCTCGGTCCCGAAGTTGTGACCCGAAAATCCTCAGCTGATTGTTATTTCTGTATATTACGGAGCAATTTATTGGCACAAATTCAATAATTAATAATTAACAAATGAAAAACATTTCATACACACGAGGGGAATTGCGTAGTCAGTTTGATGCTTTACTTGTTTTCAAATTTTGGAATCATTTTTCTTTCCTTTTGGCTGCAAAATCACATCCACATCTCTCCCTCCAGAAAAAAACCCAGTGATGGGCGCGCTAACGAAGAAAGTTAGCGCGCTAATCCGCTACCCTAACAGCTACATGCGCTAATCGTTAACGCTAACATCGCCAAGAAACTGGCCGGGTGCTAGCGCGAATCCGCTAATCGGTAATGCTAATCCGCTAACGCTATCGCTAATTTGGAACTTCCTCTCAGAATTTGCAGTAGCACCATTTATTTGTAAAGGAAAAATCTGATTGCAACATTAAACAGTTTAAAGTTTTATTGAATCATACAACAACAGTCGATAATCATCAGTCACTAATAATCTCCGGTCAATAAGTCAATAAGCACCAGAAAATCACCAGTCATTAATAAGCATCAGTTTGTTAATTATATCAAAATTCCCGCACAATTCAATGTCGCAACAATGTACAGTGCAATCATCAACCACACATTCATCCTTTTAACATCTCTTCGATCTTTGCTTCTTCCTACTAATTCATGACATCTCTTTTGTTCTCATCGGTTATGATTACCTGATCGCATTGCACACATCCATCATCTCCTACATTTGAAATAATAATGCCGTTCAAATTTCTTCTATCCATGACCGATGATAAATTTTGGTAAGCAATTATCAGCAACAACAATAACTTGATTGAGTACTCAACAGCGAACCGTTCGAGAGAGTACAAGTACGGTGGGCTTGAATTTAGTGCATTTTTGTAGCGCAAGTAGCGCATTTATGCATTCACTCACAGGCGTACGGTTAGCGGATTAGCGGAATTAGTCCGCTAATCCGCTGACGTTCGCGAAAAATTAGCTTGTTAAACCGTTAACCAACTACAATAAATCCGCTAACGCTAAAAAATTCCAATAACTGAACACGTTGGTGCGCTAATCGCCAACACTGATCCGCTGATTCGCTATTAGCGGATTAGCGCGCTAATGCCCATCGCTGAAAAACCCCGTGTGACTGTTTTCACAGATCTTTCTAGATTTCCTTCTCGGGAGTAATCTGTTATCCTTCGGCGATACTTTGCTTGAATACTGTAATTCATAAAAGTTTGATAAAGATTCCCGCTTCCAGAGCGGTAGAAATCTGCAGCTAGATCTTACATTAGGAAGTTTGCCTTCACTAATGATTCCTTATCCGAGGTGCTTATCCTCTGCATCCAACACCATTGTTTTGAAACCATATCTCCTCACATTAACGAAATGGAGCGCGTGAATCGTCGTGTCCCCCAATTCTTGGTCGGATTCCGATTTTCTTCGACGGTTTTCCTCTGGTCTATTTGCCATACTTTTTTGGTTAAGGTCTACCCCAGGTTAAAAAGTTGCTCCTGACGAACATCATTCGGCATGTTTTATTTACTTATTTACTTAAGCAGCAATTGAACTCATTGCGAGTTTATGCCTCTCTGTTATCACCAATATCACTAATATCACATTCTTCCTTTCTTGGCATTCTTCTTTCCGCACAGCTAACGATAATAGCGTTGGGAATCATCTGTCTTCATGAAATTCGGACTTGGATTATTGATCTGGCAAGCACAGAGGTTTTGGACTACTCTCCCATATTGCCCAGTTATTTCTAGGGAGATGGACTCAAAAAGAGCCCGAAAATACATTCGGCATGTGTGCGAGTTATATTTGCTAAAGTGCTGTATCTGTATGCTTGGATATGAACGCAATTATGCATGTGTTCTATGTAAACAGTTTCATGTGAAAAGGTGTTAGATTATTGTCGTGTACGACAGTCTTATATAGCCTAGGTTTGATGGAATTTTTGTTTGTTGCATAGCTCTCCGCTGACGAGATAGAACTTTAAAGAAAGGATCATAAGGAGCTGTGTATTGATGCAAGGAGAGAATTGAAAACTTTTGTCTTAATTTTACTAGTCGATGGTTGACCTGGAATTGTTTAAATTAGCTTAAGTCAGCTCTCGGAAGGCATTTCGAATGCACCAACTACCGCAAATCTCTAATCTCATATTTGACGGGTACGTCAACAAAAAGTCGTAAAAATCGAGCTAGGTCACCGGGAAGGGTATGAGTTTCAAACCTTTCTAACCGGCCCCATATAAAACATGTATGCGAACAAACATACACCAATGTAATATTATAAATTTGTAATTATGACAATATCAATCATTGTTCAATAAGGTACAGCCGAATGAAACCAAATGTAATCATCCATATTTTTAGCTCTTTCAATCAGTAGTATTGTTAAATTTTTAAGTTGAGCTCTCTTTTAATAATTCATGTATGCCACTCGTTATTCTGCATAATTATCCATTCTGATGATATTTTCTTCTTTCATTTCCATATATTATTTAGTGCATCATTATTTATTACCTGTATTTCAGGATAGACTCCGTCCAGGACGTATGCTGCTGGTTGATACATATGAAAAGAAAATCGAAGAAGATGATGACCTGAAAATGAGAATTGCTATATCAAGACCACACAAGAAATTATGTGTGCGACGTTTATATATGGATCAGTTCCGCAAAAACGATGTGGTTCGTCGTGAACTATTACTATTAGGCCGAGAGAGAACTTGCTTTTGGATGTCTTTCTGATGTGAATGCTTGTTATTTGATCATTGAAGGCGTTGAGTATTTCTGATGAATACGTCAAATTTTAGTCGAGCTGTAGTGTTTTAAAGTTATTTTATAAAAACAGCAAAAGCAGGTCACCAATCTAATTGACAGAGGATGTAACTGTATCAAGAAACTGTGCGAGAAAGTTTGAGGGCTGTCATTCCAACAAGGCGAAGGCAAATGAGTAAATTTGTTTCTATTCATAATTAATCGAAGAGAAAATTTTCAGTTATCTTTCGGTGCAATAACTAATGAATATCTAATAAAACGTGAACTCGAAGTGCAAGGCATCATCGATGGCCGTATTGCTGAAGATATACATGATCTACCGAAGAAACGTCGTAAGGATGTGCATTTGGATGCCGATCGAAGGCTAATGGCTTTCTCGTACACACCAGATACTTTTGCTTTGCTGATTGCACCAATGATTCGTGATAAGTTGGTCTTTCATTATTGTTGTTTGATTGTAATGAAATTTCAATGATGAAATGCAGTTATAATAATAATTATTATTATAATAATAATAGCAATAATATGGCAATAATAATAATAATTATTATTATTATTATTATTATTATTATTATCATTATCATTATCATTATCATTATCATTATTATTAATTATTGTTATTATTAATTATTATTATTATTATTATTACTATTACTATTACTTATTATTAATTAGCATTATTATTTTAATCACTGCAGGAAGGAAGCACTTGGCTCAATGGGTAACGATGCGGCATTGGCGTGTCTGTCGGTTTATAGTCCTCAGATATTCTCCTACTTTAAGCAGTTGTTTGCACAGGTTCTTCATTCTTTTACTTCGTCATCATTATTGTTAATAGATGATGTTTATTTTCATATGTTTTGAGGTTACAAACCCTCCAATTGACCCATTCCGTGAACAAATAGTCATGTCACTCCGATGTCCAATTGGCCCTGAATCAAATCTTCTCGAACCAGATGAGGAGTTGGAAGGAAGATTAATTCTTGAACAGCCCGTTCTTTCATTAGTTGATTTGGAGGTATATTTCTCATACAGTCATTGTTATTGTTATTATTGTTGTTGTTGTTAATAATATTATTACCATTATTGTTATTGACATTATTGTTGCCATTATTGTTGCTGTTATTGTTGTAAAGGGTATTGCAGAAGTCTGGGCATGTAACGACGGAATGGGCTGAGGCGCAATTCCTTTGGAAACTTTCATGTAATCGCTTACCTAACCTTTCAAGTTGTTATATCAACTGGATTGTAAACTTTAGATACATAGGAAACTTCTTTACCAACGTTGTCTTCTAAAGTACCGAATGTTTTTGAATTATAAACGAAATGGCAGCGAAAATTATAGTTGGTGAGATTCCCTATATGTTCTGACTTTTAGGAACAAGTTAAGGAACATGTGGGTGGTCTTAATAGTCGCCCGTGCCGATTTCGCCACTGTCTGTTCAGATTTTTGGAATGCCTTGTATGGCTTCAATTGTCAGTGTTTTTTGATTCGTTTGGTTCTATTGAAATTGCGAAGATATGGTGCATTGGCGTTTGAGTTTTGATGTATCAAATGAAATGTTTGTGTTAAGGTGTTCAAACGTACCTCGTTTAAAGGATGGCGTACAAAAGTGATCGATACAGTGTACCCTAGTCGACACGACGCTAAGGTAGGTGGTTATTGTCAAATTTCGATTGAATAAACATTTATAGTTAACTGTTAAAGGGTCTTCTGCCAGCGTTGGATCGTATCTGCAGTGAGGCGTGTGCAGCTGCATTAGATGGTTATCAAATGATTGTACTATCCGATCGTAAGGTCAGTCGAGAATTGGTGCCGATCAGCTCGTTGCTTGCACTTGGTGCTGTTCATCAATGTCTTTTGAAGCAGAAGCTTAGAATGAAGGTTGTTTTTATCGTTATTATTATTATTATTATTATTATTATTATTATTATTATTATTATTATTATTATTATT